CAGCACTTAACCATTCTGACCCTCTTAACCATTCTGACCACTTAACCATTCTGAACAAAATCATTCAGCAACTGCCAAACAGCCCCTAAGTCATGGGTGGTTTAGGTGGCGTTTGTTTCTTAAGAGGTGCTGAAGTCTGATTTCACTTCTGATTTATAAGAGGTGGTGCTGAAGTCTGAAACTTGAATCAATAAGAATGTTTGTTTTTGTAAACAACAAACGTCTTAAGTCTGAAATCTACATCAATAAATAAAATTGATATCCTAATTCAGTTAGGTAGGAATCACCATCTCGTGCGACTAACACTTATTCCCAACCATAACTCCCAACTCTGCAGCCACAATTCTTTGACCAAATTCATATATGGGTCGACTTCAGCTGTTCCATCGATGGCCAGGGTATCAAGATCCGACAGAGGTATCCCTAGAGACAAACCTTGCTCATAGTTTTGCATCAAAGTGGGTATTCCGATGATGTTAGCAAGCTTTCCTTACCGGAGAAGTTCTCCGATATGGTCTGTAGCGTGTTTGGCGGTGAACCTGTTCCACGGCCAAGAACCATGCCGGATTCGACAAACTTGACGGCCCTGTATCTCGTCGAGAGATCGAGACCTTGAGGAGAGATCTAGAGCTTGAGGGGAGATCAAGACCTTGAGTAGAGATTGAAAGCTTGAGAGCGAGATCCAGACGCAAGAAACATTTACGATTTAAGAGGCATTAAAGGGTTTCTTTATCACTTAAAAATTCAGAGCAATGACAGAGCTTTTAAGCTCTTTTTTCTTCCTTCCAGATGTGAGTGTCATATTTTCCATCTTGAACTTCAAATGGATTTTTCTTCTTACGTTTAATTTCTTGATTTCAGACCAAGCAATTGCTCCAAAAATTAGGTAATGATCCTTTTGGTTTGTATGCTGATAATATCCACTTGGCATAGCTATGGGTTTATTCGAAAGAAGAAATATGGTGATGAAGGCGTAAAGATGGAGTTTTTAGATCATATTATTGTTCCCTGGGATGGTATTGATTGTGGGAGTACGATTATGGGTGGACGGGTTGAGTGGTGACGGAAGGATGACAAACCTTCATTTTTCGGATGCTAAATTTGTCAAATTATTTATAGGTTAACGTGTAATATATCCTATCAACTTTCTCGGATTCTACTAAATAATTACATATGGATTTGGAACATAACAACTTTCTCGAAGATTATATGTATAAATATAATATAATATTAAAATATAAATATATTGGTTAATGTTTTTAATAGAAAAATAGATAAAATGTCACCCCTAACTTAACGGACTTGGTTAATAGGACGAAAAGCGAAACTAATTACAAACCAAAGTGACAAAAAGGACAATTTCAAAACCATAAAGACAAAAGTAGCAATATTTAAAAACTAGAGGGACTAAAAACGTAGTTAAACTCTATTTTATTATTAAATTGCCAGCCGTCTTCTATAAAATAATGTGGCCACTCCTCTCTGATATCCACTCCACCCTCCACTCTCACTTCACCTGCCTGCCGGAGTCGACGATGGTTTGCCGGATAAGTCAAAAACCGATGGGGTCTGCCGGCGACACCACCAGAAAAGGAGGCAAGAACAATCCGCCACCACGAGGCGGGGTGATAAAGCAAATTGTCAACGATATCGTCACCACCTGCAGCGGCGGAAAGAAGAACAGGGACTGATCCAGTGATCCTAGTTCCTTAGCTTATGATCTCGTAGATCTGAAATCTCCACGTGAAATAATAATCGTTCAGTTATGCAACTGATGCATGTCTGTGGGGATCATATATTTCAGATCCGTACTTTGTTTAATTCCTTGTACTAGAAGAAAGTCAAATCCCCATGTAAATATCAGCTTTTCTTATCTTCCATCTCTTAATTCTCCTTATACGGTTCGTTACGTATATACTTAGGATCATGTGAGACCAACATGTTTTCGTCATACCATTTTTTTACAAAACGAAACGAAGCTCGTGTTCTTGATTCAGAAAAATCGATAACAAAACGACGGTGGTTTAAGGAATCTCGTGTTCTTGATTCAGAAAAATCGATAGCATGATTCACGAGAGTATATATATGGCTTAACCCGTATTAAATCTGTAGTTAAAATTAAAACCGAGAATCTTTATCGAATTAATCTCCATGAAACCTTAATTTAAACAACTAGTTTACAATATAATTCTTTTCTGAAACTATAAAAAGTATCTTGAAATGTTTTAATCGTAGATACTAGAAATCTTAATAAAGATATGTATAACTCCAAATGCATGTGTATAATATATTTAGATATATTTTGCGTATATAGTGTAGATTTTATAATTATTATAACGTCTTTATATACATCCAAGTCGACTCGTTAGGCATATCTATGCATACATATGTGTATATAGTGTAGTGTGCGTGCATACATCCACATGGATCGGTTAGATATGTGTGTAAATATAAAAAATATGGATGTATTATTTATCATAAATTATACACTCGTGATATATATATATTTCTAAGTGAGGGCTTATAGCCAACGACACATGCCTTTGGAGGCTCGTGTTCGTAGCTCGATCGGAGGTCAAGACTGTGGTCTTAAAAATCTAGTAAGTGTTATGTGGGGGTGGGGATTCAGACTCACCTTCTTGTTATCCAAAAGCAAAAGTCAGTTGAATCGGTTGACTGATTAATTAAGTTAAGAAAAATATAAAGCGTCCCCGTTAAAAAGAACATATATATATATATATATATATATATAAATGTCTACATTCTAGATGAATATATTAGACATGACGTTATAGCATATGTGTATTTATATTTATCCACGTGCATCCACTTGGACTAGTTAGATATATATATATATATATATATATATAAAATATACATAGTGTATGGACATAACCTTAGACACGTGGGTACATGTGCGCACAAGACAAAAACAGTGTCGATTAGTGTTTGATTTTGTGGACTTCAATTCACAAATTCAAAGTTAAATCGTGATGATAGTAACTGGTTATGTCCTGAATTCCTTTCTTGGTCAAGTTGTGCTATTAATAACTACGTAAAATATTCTCCTTTCACACATACACACTCCACCTATCGAGAAAGAGATTTGGGATCATGTGAGATCAAATGTTTTTCGTGAGACCTCTAACACCAATTCTCAACCCTTGGATTAAATTTACAATTTGAACATTCATAATCACAAAATTGTCACGAGACTTCTTAATAATTACAAAATTGTCACCGTGCAACTTTAGACCATTAGATTATTAGTTTATAAAGTTGATTAATGAACATAAATTGGTCTTACGGGTCTTATGAAAAACCTTTGGTCTTACGTAAACCCAATCCTATATATATATAAGGGGCTGTCTGTTTACCTCTTAATAGTTTCATTAATAGACAGTCTTTGAATCATTAAGAAGTGAATCTTGTTTGACAAAAAAAGTATGTGTCTTAGTGGTTCTAAAACCCTTTAAATGATTTTGTACCATAGGTCTCTTTAACAATTCAACGTTCTAGTTTCATTGTACACAATTATCAAACAATTATATTTTATTTTGCATTATATTATGAGAGACTCTTAATCATTCAAACCATTTAATCATTCTGCACCAAACCATTCAACAACTGCCAAACAACCCCTAAAAACTTTATACATTGTAAGAACTTTCATCTTGAGATGTTAATATTTCATACGATCTCTTTCTTTTTGTGATTAAAATTTATGATATTGATTAAATATATTTGAATTACCGAAAGGCCATGGGGAGATACCGTCTGTGATCCATGGATCTCCGATCGGAAAACCTCCAGTGGGATTCCAAGATGAAAAAGGATCAATCCAATTACAACAATGTATTTGGATTATAATATTTTTGTTTTTTATATCTATTTTTTGTTTTACAAACACGTAAAAACTACATTATAATACAATAAATAAATAAATTTAAAAAAATATATTATAAAATAAATTAATATATATTTTAGTTAAAACTTTAAATTATAATATTAAATGAAAAAGAAAAACCATAGAGAATACCACACAATGATGGGTTACTTTAATATATTTGGAGCTATTATATCCACACAATAAAGATTCAACAAGCACCCTTTGTGGGCCATTTTCTTGGTAACCAAGCAAAAGGAAAACAGTATTAAAGTGTTCATTAGAATCTAATAAACATAATTAAGTTTATCATATAATTAAATTTTATTTCAATTTTTTATTATTTTTTCTATATTTTTTAATATAATAACTTGCTCGGTAATTAATACGAATATAAATTTTTGGTCTCAAATCCTCATGTTATATTCATGTTCTTCGACAATATTAATGCACATCATGAGATGTGTCTTAATTTCATTTATGAGACAAAAATAAATTTATACGTCTCTTTGTTGCATGACAAGTGTCGTCATATGCTACAAGTTCGTATCAATGGCAAAAACCATCTGTTTCGCTTTTCAATGAGAAAAAACGATGACTAAATTTGTACTTCGATTTTTCACTAGATATATATTAATAAATTTTCAATCACTTTATGCTAGAACTGTATTAGATTTAAAATAAAGTGATTAATTTTATAATAAAAACCGGCTCGATTTTTTAGTAAGTTGGTTTGTTATAATCAAAAGGTTGCGTTATCCATTTTGTTTCAAAGTCAAACCATATCCAATTATTTGTGTTTTCAAAATTGACTAACCGAGTCAATAATGATTTTTAATAAAGAACTTAATTAAAATAGTTATTTTTAGCTATTGATTTCACCTCTTAATCACGTTCTCCTATATAAGAATTAGCTACCCATTAGCAAAACACTAGGTTTGTAATTGCAGATCCAGCTAAATGACAAAAACAATTCTGGCCCCTATCCGCAATATTCTAGGTCCGTAATTGCGGGCCCTACCCTTGGAGTTCCAAACATTACATTTTCTATCCAGACCTGCAATTAAACATGTATAATGAAAAATTGTGAAAGTCAAAGGTCAAAATTTCGAATATGGATATAGTTAACAGATGGGGTTGGATTAGGGTTTCACTCAGGTCTGACACGTATAGGTCCGTAAAAAGGCATGCCCGCAATTGTGGACCTGGGTCCGTAGGATGTTTATGAATTATTCCTATGATTTTACCATATTAACCGACTAATTTATAGGTCAAAAGTATCTATTTAATCAGTTTTAGACGATTTGATAATTTATTTATTTAAATTATTTTTAAAAACTTAATCATTTAATAATTGAAAGTACGTTTGATATTTGTAGCTTTTTCAGTTTTTAATTTTCAATTATTTCTGTTATTGTGAGGATTTTGTGTGGAATTATTTGTCACTGTGTATAAAGCAAATTGTGGTCCAACTAAAGACAAACTCACATGCTATAGCTGAATTATTTGTCCAATTAAATGGCAGTTTACCAAATGCTTATTCGGGTAAGTGTTTATCGAGTCACATTCTCTTATCGGATGAATGTGGTAAATACCAATAATCTTACGTGGTAAGAGCGAAGACACGGACTGAGAGTCTTACCCGGTAAGTGATGGTGATGACTCTTACCATGGTTAGCACTTACCGGGTAAATCGTTACAAACGATGTCGCTTTTGTAGACTAAGATCTTACCCCATAAATAAGCGATAGAGTTGAATTTTATCGTTAAGCGCTTATCGGGTAAGTGTTTAGGTAAACATCCCCTAAGACACTAATGATAGAGGCACAATATACGAAAATAAATCAGTTATTTTTTTATTAACCTGAATATCTAATCAGAATCGTTCTAATCTTTTTGGAGGTCATGTTATATTATTATAAAAAAATATAAGTAGATTGACCGACAAAACAAATAAAAGTTAAATACAAAAGTTCATATTATATTAAAAGAATTACAAATAAAAACAGCCAAAAGACAAAGTAACATGTAAACTTCACTTGAATAAAATCATTCTTTTAAAAGATTTGACAATGACTTGACGGTCCATCCTTGTCAACTTTTAGTGGAAATAGCAAATATTGTATAAATACGTTGAATTATTCCAAAAAAATCTCTAGCTTTACCACAGGCATCGACTATATCACACAAAGTTAAAATTAAGACTATAAGAAGGACAAGAAGTATAAAATGTTCTAGGATTTATATCTAATAGTTTTCTTTGTACTCCTTGATGTTTTCCTTTCATGTTTGAACTATTATCATAACCTTGTCCTCGCACATCATCTAAATCCAAACCAAGACACTTTAATTCAGCTACTAGAACATCAAACAAACCTTGACCTGTGGTATTATCTACCTCTAAAAATCATAGAAAATATTCATCAATGCTAACAATTTTAGAAGAGACATCTAGATACCTTAATATCAAGGACATTTGTTCTTGATGACTTATATCGGGAGTGCAATCAAGAATAACAGAAAAATACTTTGTCTCTTCAAAAGTAAACACATGGGTTTTGATATTTTTAAAAAGTCTTTCATAAGATAAACCTTCTGTAAAACCCAACATGACCAAGAAAGCTTCTTATCCCCTTGATAGTGGTTGGTTCAGGTAGCTTTTCAATAACTTCAAGTTTAGATTTGTCTTCCACAACTCCTCTTTTAGAAATTAATCAAATGTCCCAAAATAATCTATTCTTTTAGAAAAATGCTTCGTCTCTTTTACTTTATTAATAATTTCACATTTAAGTCTCCTGACAAACAAATTTATCAACTCCTTTTGAATTCTAGGACCAAGATAATGAACATGTAAATCATCATTTGTAATACGTTGAACTTGATCCTGAATAATTGAGTCAAATACAACCAACATCTCAATTAAGCCCAAAAAGTTACGATTGTTATTCTCATACAATTTTGCATTACTTCCATGAAATGCAAGATTATGTTTTGCAAGAAATTCTATAATAGAAACAACTCTTACCAGGACTTTTTTCCAATGATTTTTTTTTCCTATTTGGGTTTGAATAACTTTGTCAATGGTTTGATTCTTTTGAAGTCTTAGCCGCAAATCATACCAAGTTTTCATATTCATTACATGATCTATACTTGTTTCATGCTTCTTAAGTCTAGTGCTAAGGTGTAATCCTAGAAAACATATTGGAACTGAAATAAGTAAAAGAAAAAAGATATGGAACAAAACAACCTGTGTGAGGATGATAGTACTACTCTTGCATTATTGCATATGATAACGTTATTGATGCTTGGTCCTCCCAAGTCCCAACTCCCAAGTCCCAAAAGATTTTGATTGCACTACAAGAGATAAACACAATCTGAACACTGAAGTTTGGACAATTTGAACCAAACCTAAACAAATAAGAACATGAACCTAAAACAAGTGAACAAGTTTTCGGTTTTCTCTTACACTTGAGATTCTGAACAATGAACAAGTTTTCAATAAGAAGATGAACCTAAAATTTCAATATTCTAAAACACTTGAGATTCTAAAAAGTGAACAAGTTTTCAGTTTTCTTACGCACAAAAATCATACAAGAATCATGAGTTAGTGATTTCTGAGTGAAATTTACCTCACCTTTAGGAATTAGGTTAAAATTGACCAACAGTCCAACTAACATAGATACGATTATCCAATTACAAAATTGAGATTTTGTGATGATGACAAGCAAATTAGCAAATAGCAATCGAGTAATCGTTGAGATTATGAGATTTGAGAATAAGCTAATAGCAATTGAGTAATGAGTAATCGACAAATCGACCAAACATGTTATACTTATACAAAATAACAAAAATCCTCTAAAATCTAACCATTGTTGTCGTTGCTATTGCATATCTGAAACCGAATCATTAGCCATCTTTGGAGATTTCAATCGACAATCGATAGGATAGAGAGGAGAGGGGAGATCGAGGCATCTGGTCGCAAGTATTGCTCTCGTTCTTTATTAGGCACTAGCTTGAATGTTGAATCGGCCGAATACTCTTATGACGAGCCTGTGAAATTTGGGCCCCAAAATGTTGGGGGCCTTGTTCTAAATCTCAGATGTAACGGGTCAAAGGATGGGTCTATTTCTAACCCGTTATATGAGCCGATTAATACCAGGACGACCACCCATTTTGCGGGTAGCCTCGGAATCACCAATTGATAATTCAGGGAGAATTTAGTAATTAACTTTTGAAACGAAGGGCATTGGGGACCTTTTGACCTATCATTATCGTTGATAAGTTTTATCTTTGACCAGTAACGTCTGATGTATTTTACAGTCAATATAAACATCAAAGAATCAACCGGCCGACATGACGAAATCTTAGCCTCAAAATACGCTAAAAAATCTAGACACCCTACAAACCGTATAAAAACGAGTTTATGTCCATGGAAATAGGATTTAAACACACAAAATCTAAACAAGAACTGATCGAACACAAAATCATGAACGATCGATCTCCATTAATCTAGGACAAACAAAGATTCGATGAAATGAACACACAAAAACCTAATAACAATTCAAGACGATTAAATCTCTGCAAAACATTCGCCATTGTAGGCTTCTTTGTATACGTTTCCTTCATATATTTTTCACCTTATCCACTCCTCTTTTCTTTCGATCGTAACCCTAAATGTCTTCTACCAGTTAGGAAAACATGGAATCACGACGATCGTGAATCTTCTCTTTCTTCATTGTTTTTCTCCGGCCAACAAGACTCGCCCACAAACGTCACCCAACTGGTTTTTGGTATCTCGGGTTCCGTCAAAGCATGGCGTGACCGCCGGTCGTATTTCAAAGAGTGGTGGCGGCCAAATGTCACACGTGGATACATTTTTTTCGATAAAGAACCAACCCCAGATCTTCTGCCATGGCCGTCGGAGGAGCTACCTCCTTATCGGGTGTCGGAAAACACCACCGGATTCGAGGTTTACTCGAGGCATGTGAAGCCATTTGTGATCAGGATCGTAAGAACGATTCTGGAGACGTTTAGGGAAGGAGATAAGGGAGTTAGATGGTATGTTATGGGAGATGATGATACCATTTTTTTCTTGGATAATTTGGTGGAGCTTTTGGGGAGGTATGATCATACAAAATATTTCTACATTGGTGGCATTTCTGAGTGTGTGAAGTCCAATTTCGATTTCTCGTTCGAGATGGCGTTTGGCGGTGCCGGGTTCGCGTTGAGCTACCCGCTGGCGGAGGCGTTGGTTGCAAATCTTGATCAGTGTATCGGTATATACCCATTTTATCATGTTAGCGATCAGATTTTGAGTGCTTGCATTGCTGATCTTGGTGTTCCTCTTACTCCTGAAAAGGGTTTTCATCAGGTTCCAACTTTTCAATTAAGCATCCAAAATTCACCTTATTCGACAACCCGATGCATGTTCTATCCCGAATACTTGTTAGAATACGTGAAACCTCGTTAAATTACTCACCAAAAACGTCCCTTGAAAAAAGAAAAGAGGTTTCAACATAGACCGAGAACAAATGAGCCAAGTTTAGCTGATTCATGACTCCAACACTCCCCTAGTGTACCTGTGTGTTGAATCCCTGTAATTAGGGGTGCTCAAAAACCCGACAAACCCAACACGAAATAATTTAACCCGAAGCAACCCGATGTCTAATCGAGTTGTAAAATTTTCAAACCGTAGGTATTGAGTTGATATTGAGTTACTATTATTTAAACTCAACCCAACCTGATGAACCCGATATTCTTTTATTTCTTGGATTTAATATGATTGTTGAATTTATGTTAATATATATATATATATATATATATATATATATATATTAGCCAATTACACTAACACGTACGCTCTTCATATACACATATTTTCAATCTATTCACATCTCTAGATAATTCATTCGTATATATGTTCAGTAACTGTAAACATATATACGTAAATTGAGAAAATTAACTGAATGTGATATATGTAAGAAGTATAGATAAATTGTATCAAATGGTTGATGATGAAAAAGAAATTGAATAAAGAAATAACATATTCAAGGTTAGAAGAATATTTTAATATACCAAAGTATTAACCCGACCAACCCAACCCATGAGCACAGATTGGGTTGGGTTGGGTTAAGATTTTTTCAAACCACAAGCATTTGGTTGAGTTGTTCAAATGTCTTCAACCCAATCAACCCAACTCATAAGCATCATTAGACTAATGATGTGTTTTCATATGATAGATTTTTATCAAACCCTAACTTGATCAATCGTAATGATGTTATAGATTGATCTCGTGCACGACATATCGGGGTTTCTATCGGCTCATCTGCAAGCACCATTGATCTCCCTCCACCACCTCGACATCGCCCTTCCCATTTTCCCCACCATGAACCGCCACGAGTCCGTAACACATCTCATGAACGCTGCTAAACTCGATCAATCTCGCCTCCTCCAACAAACCGTTTGCTACCACACAGAAAATAACTGGGCGTTTTCAATCGCTTGGGGCTACTCGGCTTATATTTACGAACAATGCATCCCTCGTAGCATCCTCAGGAGACCTCTTGAAACATTTACTCCATGGAGCTTGAAACGACAACCGCCAGATTACATGTTCAACACACGATTAATGTCCAACCATCCGTGCGAAACTCCACACGTTTTCTTCTTTCGTTCTATAACAAGAAACAATAACAGTAACGGTAACAGTAGCAGTAGCAGTAATAATACGATGGAAGATGAAATCGTGATGACCTACACTCGTTCCAAACACCGTCGATTGCCCCCGTGTTCTTCAAATCATTCCGCGGATCATATTTCGAAGATCCGAGTTTACACTCCAGCAACAAAATTGAACTTCGTAAGGCCATCATTAATTTCATGTTAATTACTTCAATCTTGTGCAAATTTTGAATTAAATATGATCATATAATTGATTAATGAATATATATTTTGTGTTTGATTTAGGCCGAAAATAGAGGGGAATGTTGTGATGTGTTGAAGTTTGATGGGAATGTCACAGCAGAAGTCAAGATAAGGGGTTGCACCAAGACTGAGATTGTAGCTAGTTAGAATATATATATATATATATATATATATATAGAGACACAATTGGGATCATGTGAGACCAATTTGTTTTTGTGAGACTAATTTGTTTTTGTGAGACCCGTAAGACCACTTTTTTACACTTAAAACTTCATAGCAAAACGCTGTAAATGTAACTTTTACAGTGTTTTTGCTGTGAAAGTCTTTTTTTTCATCTTCACAGTGTTTTGCTGTGAAGTTTTTAGTGTAAAAATATAGTTTCACGAGTCTCACTAAAACAAATTGGTCTCACATGAAGTCAAACACACACACACACACATATATATATATATATATATATATAAAACTTATGTTAACTAGATTTTTATATTTTACTTTTTTTCCGTATTATATTTTATTTATTTATTCACTTTTGTTGTAATTTATGTGATTCATGAGTTTCAAGCATAAATACAAGAGTTAAATTGTACCAAAATGCATGCAATCAACTTAATTTGGTATTCTATTTTAAGTAACAAATTAAAATGAAATCGTCAATAAATATAACAAACTTTTTAAAATTCATTATCTAGACAAAATTGACCGACTACTGATGTAGTTGGTCACATTTTGTTGAGTTGTTATTTTTACTTTGTAGTTTATAGTGACGTGGATTGTCATGTTATTTCTTGATTTCTGCCGACCTGCTTCTTCAATTTCCTATGTCGTATTTCAACCCTATGATGGAGTGGACGGTTTCTGCGATATGGTGGAAAGAGGTGAAAACAAAGGAAAAGAGAGAAAGTAAACAATAAAGCGGAAAGGGTTATACGGGAAGAGGAAAGGGGAAGGGTCTTCTTTAGTTTATCGGGTTTTTGAAGATAGTACCACACTTACGATTTCACCTTCAATTTATTATCATCATGATGTGAGCCTAGGCGTGGTGGACCCGACCTTATTGTTTCTGGAGATCCGTTGTCGTGTCATCAGAGGTGGCATACTTAAACGTACATAACTTTTGTTACGGGCCTATATTTTAAAACCACGATACGCTGATTTGAAACTTGGAACGTGGAGCATGCCTTGGTAGGCTCGAATCTACAAGATTTTTGAGTAAAAAAACACTGTTTAAATACGTTTTGAGACACTTTTTATGTTTGTTTTTTGCTATATTTTTCATTTTATGTTTGATCCATCATCTTTAATTTCCAGTCCCGTTTACATCTGGAGCTTTTATTTACTTGTTGGTTGTGTAAAATGGAGAATGAACTATAAATACAAAGAAATTTCATTTCCATCCAAATTCACAGTTTATTGTGAATTCAAGTGGGAGAATGAGCTTTAAAATCGAATATTCCTAGATAACCAGTCTAAAAGTTTTGATGATATCGATATTGATGAAATTGACAATATTGGTGCTAGTGACGATATTGATGCTAGTGACGATATCCTTGATATGGAGCCGAAACTGCTAATTAGCATGAATGTACTAATTATGAATATGTTGCCTAAAGAGGAAGACCAACTTTATATTACCCTTCAATTCGATCATCCATACACTGCATCAAATTACAGCTTAATAAAATAAGCAAAAAAATATCTATCTTAATTACAAACTCCAAAAATTATATAAAAATGACTTTTTTTTAAAGCTATTTAATTTAGGTCCAAGCCTTTATTTTTTTTATTAACCTGAATATCCAACCCGCTATGCGAGCAGACTAATTTCAAGGCGACTACCTGTTTTGCAGGTAGTTTAGAGTCACCGCATTACAACCTCCGTAGCCATAAGGGGTTTTTGTTCCTTCTTGGATTTGAACCTAAGACTTCCAGACACTTTTAATCTTTGGAGCCAAGCTCAAACCAATCAGGTATTACAGCAAAACAAAAAAAAAAAAAAAAAAAAAAAAGCACCATTAACAATCAATCAACTTCAGTTTGATATTTCTGAGTTTGGAGATTTGCATACTTGAAAAACCGTATGAATCCGTATACGCTTAATAATTTAAACACAATGTGATCATGCAAACTGGAAAACAATACATGAATTCTTGATGATATGGTCTAGTGAAGAGGAGAGTTAAGACCCTCTTGAATCGATAATGGATGAGCAACTTGATGTCTTTTTGAAGGAAATGGTGAAGTTTTTCTGAAAGATGCTCGCTTCTTAAGATGATGGAGAGTTCTTCTCGTATAAAGTTCGCGAACCATCGGTTTTGCTCGTTCCTTCAACTTGAGTATAGCGAAGAATAACAGTCGGTAAAAGAGGAGGATCGCCACCACCGCTGCTAAATCCCACCATTTCGAGTGCTCGATTGAAATCCCGAGCACTGAGGTTAGTATGAGCTCACCTGGAAGTTTTGGGTCGCCTTCGTATTCAGCATCAAACTCCAATCCGATCATGTCGTTCTTGTACGCTCCCTTGTTCACAAAAGTGCATTTTAGATGTCTAAATGTCCCAACACACTGTTTTATATAATTAAGTTTATAGGACGAAACAATCTTCAATTTGATGATACCTGTAATGCCCATGACATATAATTGATGTACGAAACCGGGTATCGCCAGAATAGCTTTGGAAGTTCGGGGAGGAGACGGAAGAAGCCCGCAGTCATCATCATAACACCCTGCAAATCAACCAAGATTAATTAAGCATTCAGGTTTTAGGGTTTAATTTTATGGAGGATTGAAGAATGGATCTTACAATAAAACCTGCACCGATGATTATTCCCATCATGAAATTGGGAACGACTGAAGCTATAACCATCATACAGCTCTCAACGGCAGCGATCGATAACAGAAGATCGAGGCAAGCATACATTTCGCGGAAGAACCCGCGATGAAATTTCACCATGTTATACGTAATCACAGCCGTACTGAAAGACATTACGGTCAAGAACGGGAGCGAAGACAAGAAGTTCGAAAGAATGAACACACCGACCCCATAGTGTCCATTCAGCCTTTCTCTATGAAAAATCTGTCCCAAATGAATCAATCAGTTAAAATCATATAAACTCGATTTTATCGTAGTGACATCGATTATACATGTATTTATATATATATATATATATATATATATATACCTTCATTTCTTCGATGAAGGAAGGGAAGCCTCCGATGGACATGAAGATCATAAACCCCGAAATGAATCCGCCACAAGCTCCACGGGCTAACATTGCGTGGTAGTTGGTTCCGATGTCGTAAAAGACCGTGCCAACGCAGATAGATACCGCAATGTACACCCCGATCCTCAACCAATAGTACCCAACATCTCTCGACATATTCACGAAAGACCTCTTTGTTAATGTGGTTAGCTGCTTCCACCAGCTTGCTTTCCTCCCACTCTTTGTTTCAACTACAAGTGCTTCCTACAAATTTCAAACACTTTTTATAATATTTATATACGATAAATACCGTTAGTCGAATAACCCTAAAGAGGCTTACAATGGTTGATATCTCTTTGATTCTGGTTCTTGCAGCTGCTGCATATTTTGAGGATTTGTATTTGTAAACAAGCATTCCTTTGATCTGTGCTGTTGTTGAACAAGATAAAGTCGTTGTGCAAGCAATTTTCGTGTCGTGCTGTACGCAAAACGATCGATGTTTCTTTATAAGGATCTGCAGGATGCTAATTACCAGTTTCCGAGTGTGTGCTCGTGTGTGTGTGTGTGTGAATATATATAGAAGCGATAAACTTCATTCGTACCCGGAACCTTTGAGAACCCTGCAGTGTAGCGTTGATTCTGTCGAAATCTGAGTTGATGCAACGAAGGAAATGATCCGAAGGGTTTCTTCTACTTGGACATGGTATTCCCGCATCCGAAAAGAACTGAATTACATTCGTTTTATCAAAACCATAAAATCGATATTGTAGAACACTAGATATTTCAAAGGGCCAGTCTGTCAATAGTTTAACGAGCTTAACGAGACTAACAACTTATTCGGTCAACTATACATAACTGTTTTGTATGAGCTTAATGATATAGAAAGTGTCTTATTCAGTAAGCTTCTAGTGAGGTGATTTATGCGAATAACAAAGTTTTTCCAAGTCTGCCTCTTTCATCTACGAAAAACCTACCTCAAACAAAAACTTTCATCATCTATACAAACATATATTAATCCACATAAACAACTTTATCCATACAAGACTTAATGAAAACTAACCAAACAGCTCCTAGATGTCCTAACAGACGTACTTATATAGGTACTTATGACGTATTTTGGTATCCAAACAAGTTTTTTAAAATAAAATTTCTTATTAACTTTTTAAGCAAACACTTTTGAGAAGTGTTATTATATAAAAAAATCAATATGATGTTTTATATTTATAAGGTTCTTAAAAGCGTTAGGACATCTAAATGCGTCATATCAACTTATTGTAATAACTTTACATAAGTAGCAAAATTGTTTAAAACAAGAACATTTAAATATATTTGGCGTCCTATAAAACCGATTTTGTTGTAATCAGTGACTACGACTTGCATTGTTGCAAGATGCATAGAAGTTAATGTAATGAACAAATACCTCTATGGCCAATTTGGCTTCACCAAAGAAGACGGTTTCACCACCCGACAACAAAAAGAGATCATCGAAGAGCGCAAAAACTTCACTGCTCGGCTGGTGGATGGAGGAGACGACGGTTCGCCTACCGTCTCGAGCCACGCTTCGTAGCGCCTGAACCACAAAGAAGGCCGAGGCACTATCTAGACCACTGGTGGGTTCATCAAGAAACAAAAGGGTTGGTTTGGTTAGGATTTCAAGTGCAATACTGAGTCTCTTCTTCTCACCACCACTTATCCCTCTCAAATGCCAGTTTCCGATGAGTTTATCGGCACAATCTTGAAGACCCATCTCCATTATCGTTCCTTCAACGATTCCATTGACTTCAGATTTGGTCAACTCTCCTGGTAACCTCAGTTTTGCTGAGTATGTTAGGGTTTCTTTCACTGTTAGTGTTCCCAGTAGTATGTCCTCTTGGGTCACATAAGCCTGATAGGTTCATAATATATAATTTAAAATAAATCATTTTCTTAATCGATGTAACAAAGTTTAAATATTTTCTATTTTGTAGTTATTTCGATAGGTAATTTACGAATCTTGAAGAATTTGATAACATAGATACCCGTTTACGAAAAGGTTATGGCGAATTAGACGATTAGAGATCTCTATTCGCCATCAATCACTACAACAAAATTGGATTTATAGGACACCCCTAATCTCTAAACGTCCCAATAGATCAATTTATATGACTTGATTTATAGGGACAAAATTTAAAGCGCCTTATCTAAAGGTATTGTAATAAGTTTATATGACGTTTTTTGGTGTCTTAACAAGTTTTTTAGGACATTTTTAATACAAAGTGTCTCATTAGCAACTTTATAGGACACTTTTGAGAAAGTGTCCTATAAACTTATTTTTTATAGGACATTTGTTTTTATATGACAGTTTTTTAAATAGTGTCCTGTAAAGTTGCTAATGTGACATTTTATATTAAAAGTGTCCTAAAAAACTTATTATGACGTCAAAAAATGTCATATAAACTTATTACAACGCCTTTAGATAGGAGGCTTTATTTTTTTGGTCCTATAAACTATGTTTTATAAACAGATCTAATAGGACGCTTAGAAATTGAGAATGCCCTATAAACCCAATTTTGTTGTAGTGAATTCTTACAAGATGAACATGTTATTGGTCAAAATGGGTATAAAAAAAATACGAGCATATGGATTACTTACAACAGCACCATAATCCAGCCTCTTTTTCTTCCCGTTAAGAATAACGTTTCCCGTCATTATAACATTCCCAGCCAATCTTCCTGTAATTTTTTAGATTTTAAAAACGTAATAACTCGATCAGGTTGAGCATAGAATAATAGAAAAAATATATTTTATGGACGGAACAGAACTTTATCAAACTAAATACATATGAAATAACACGATTTTAGAACCAAACATATAGCAACAATAAGCGATACTACAACTCGACGAATACGCGTACAAATTGATGACAAATTAATTGTAAAAGACAAGTACAATATTAATGCAATGTAGTACTATTTTCTTTTTCACATAAACATCTTGTCTTCGATAAGTGACCTTTAACAAATTAATACATTTAAGCCAAGCCACTTTTAGGAATACTAGAGGTATGTTTTATGAACGTAGGCATCACCCCCCCCCCCCCACTTCGATCGAGAGTATTTTATACGTCATTTTTATTACATTAATAGTGTAAACCACAAGGTTACGTCAATCTGGTTGTGCAACTTAGACATGGGGATGGGGCCAGGATCTCAATCCCCGTCCTCGATTACCTATCTTTATCCTCGTACCTATTCTTGCCAGAGAATATAACCACATCCTCATCCCCTACGGGGAACAAGAATCCCCAACGGGGAAATGGAGATTTCTTTTTTTCATTTATGTAAGTTATTTTAAATTAAATATGTGAGACATTATACATGTTTAAATCTCAAACATTTTTGATAAAACTAAAACCAAAATGAAAAATTAATTTAATATAAAAAAATCACATCATCATATAAGAACTAATAACCTAAAATCAAAATAAAAAATCAATTTAATCCAAAAAAAATTAAAGTCACATGTATCAAAATAACAAAATGACCTATGATTTAACTGAGTCACTGGATTTTTATAACGGTGTTAGTCATGACCATGAAATTAAATACTGCAAGGATCAAAATCATAATAAACATGTCATAAAAACCCTAGTTAGAGGAAACATCAAAACACATTAAAGAAATCCATAATTCCCTCCTTTTTTATAAACATAACCCTATACCATCAATATTATGATATATGATGGTTGCAATCCTACACACATAAAGGAAGGTTCGTGCCATAATAATAATTAAATAAAATAATATTTTTAATCAATTATTTATTTGACTTAAATAAAGTTTCTTAAAATTTACCCGAAAAGCATATTTAATGTCATTTGTTATATATGGATTATAAATGAAAATTATTTATTTTATAAAAATTATTTAATACATCTAAACAAAAATAAATATTCATTTATTTATTTTTTATTATTTAAGATATTTAAAATAAAAATGATTTAGTTTTTCATTTAAAAAATTATTTAAGATTTTTTATTATTCTTGTTAAAAATCAAATATGACATTCACAATTAATCAACGTTTAACTATTGAAAACGTTTTTTTTTTAACTATTTCCTGTTTTCATTTTTTTCCTTTTTATTATTTTTCAAGTTTTAAATCATATACGATTAGCCAAAAAAATTGAAATATATAAATTAATTGTGAATCACAATTTTGACAAAAATTGTTGTTTTCTTAAATATTGCCTTAAAAAATTCTTTAAATGAAAATTAAATACTCTTATTTTAAATGTATTAAATAGAAAATAAAGTTATTACATAACAATTAAATCACATAAAAATGATAAAAGTAGAATTTCAAATAAATGTCTTAAGTAACTTTTTTTATATAAATTAATTTTATGTCTCTATTTAATTACTTTCAGATTTATTTATTTATTATATTAACTAATAAATTATGTGGTCCATTTCATTCTCTTATATTTTTTATTGGTTATTATTATTATATAAACAAGACACACACACACATATATATATATATATATATATTCAAATGAAAACCATAATTATTTTAAAAATCTAAAAACATTTATATTTTTCATACATTATTTATGATAAATAATGTGATAAATATTTATCACGACATTCATTATAAATATTTATGTCACGATATTCATTATAAATAAAAGTTACTAGAATCTTAAAATATTCACCGTTCTCAGTTTTTCTCTCTATAATTAATGCACCCTGCAAGTTAGCAAGATATATCATGTTGAATTTAATGTTACATTTTTTTAGCAACTGCTTGAATTTTAATTTTAACCTTAGCCTATAAAATTTATAGAGTTTAAGGGGCCGTTTATCAGATATAAACTTACCCAGTAAATTTACACTATCACTTAATTGCGGAGTAAGATTTTAATCTATCAATACGGCATCATATGCAACAATGTAGCCGGTAAACACTTACCATGGTAAGAGTAGTTGGCTTCACTTACCGAGTAAGACTCTCGGTTCTTCATTCGCTCTTACCGAATAAGATTATTGGTCATTACCATATTCATTCAGTGAGGTAATGTGACTTGAAAAACACTTACCTGAAGAAACGTTCGGTAAACGACTCCTACATTTTATGTTTATAAAATATATATATATATATATATATATATATATATAACAATAATATCCGACACTTTGTCATGTATGAATATTACATTAAATGCTTCCAACAAACATTTAGACTTTGTCCTTCGCTGAAGCAATGTCTAGAAGGTTTTAAAAACGTTACTGAATTTTTAATTATACATTAATTTTAGATTAAATAATTATTATAAATTAATAACTGTTTATAATAAATTAAATGATAACAAACTATAATAAAATTGGTACTATACAACGCCTAAAGTGTCTAAGTATTCTGATATATATAATATTTCATAATATTTATAATACAAAACTTTAAAACGTCAATATCCAAAAACGTTTCAACAAGATTCTTAAAAACGTTTTTAAAATAAAATGTTTTAATAACTATTTTTATATGATACTTTTGACAAATGTCCTATAAACCCATCTTTTTATATGGATTTATGTTACGACATTTTTTCAAATAGTGTCGTATAAAATAGCCAATACGACCCTTTATTTTGAAAAACATTCTAAAATTTATTAAAAAGTCATCTAAACCTATTACATTTACAACACTCTCAGATAAAACGTTTTTGGTTTATTCTTATAAACTTAAGTCGTATAAAACATTCTAATAAAACATCTAGATATGTTATAAACCAATTTTATCACAATTATATTTTACTCTTATATATATAAAAAAAAATTTGATATGAAATAATGGGGAAAATGTTAGACAAGGAAACCAAATGATTATATATCACAGTACTTCTGACCTAAAAACTCTGTTCAAAATAATACTTAGCATTTATGATCAACTTTAAATTTTCGCTTCATTTAAAAAAAAAAAAATTTGCAGATAAAACGAGAGGCTCAAACCTAATTATCAGAATTTTCTGATTTTATTTGGAGGTTTTTTATATTTTAAAACAAGTATATATATATATAAACTGTTAACAATCCAAAGCACATGAACATTTATAATGAGTTGGATTCACTATTTAACAATTACTTTATAAACTTATTAATTATATTAAAATAATTATATATATATTTTTTTAATATAAAAATTTAAAAGTTTATACATTTGAGCACGACATGTCTAATATCCTAATTAATTATAAATAATCAACATGATTAAAATTATACAACATTAACGATGAATAATACATCAGTGATAATAAATATCTCATAAATATTTTTAGACACATGACGTCTCTCATTTGCCTCCTAATTACAACTAAACTTGACTATAAATACATACATATATATATATATATATAGAGAGAGAGAGAGAGAGAGAGAGAAAGAGAGGGGTTTGGGATCACGTGAAATCCATGAGACTATTTTTTTACATTTGAAACTTTATAATAAAACACTCTGAATGTAATATTCACAATGTTTTTATTGTAAATATTTGAGTTTTTTTTTCCAATTTTTTTTTGGAAAAAAATAATAGAAAACGTAATGAATTAGGGATGCCGACCACCCCATGAGCTGAAACCACGACTCTGCCAGTAGTAAACATCAGCAACCACCACTCATCCACCTATTAAGTGTTTTTTGTCACTACTTTCACTCTTTTTTATTATACTTATTTATTTTTACTCTATTTGCATTTATACTTGATTGTTTCACATACCTTAAATCTATATATGTACATGTATATATATGTGTATGTGTAAGGTACATTCTTTTGAGAACCCATGAAATTATGATAACCTTGAGAACCTATGAAAATTTCACATTATGAACCGAATACATATGAAACAAACACATTGTAAAACAAATATATATTAACCAACATATTAAATACTATATTTAGACAACAAAAAATCATGTAAATAAAACTTTAAGGTAGAAGTTTTCACTAATCTGAGTAAAAGAGGAGGTAATGTGAAGGTCTAACTATTTTTTGGATGCGGTATCGAAATACTCAAATAATACCACATAGAAATCTAGTGAGAGAAAATGTGTCGAAAAATTGAACCAAGAAGAAAAAATGATCTAAACTTTAGGCAATAATTTCTGGAATATCTTTTTCTTAATTTAAAAAATAATTAAATAATTTATTATAATCCAAATAATAATGACTATAAAATGTGTATATTTTTATTTATTTTAAAAAAACCCAAAAAAATACTTTTAGAAGAATCGGTTTTTTTAAATTTTACTGGAATATTAAGTTATTTTAAAAAAAAAAAAAAAGTATTTTTGGAAATTCTGTTCTTGAAAGCCGATAAAAATCTGTAAAAACATCTTCATATTTGTAAACAGTAATTATTAAAAAGCATAACAGAAATAAAGACTGCTATGAAGTTGCACAAAAACAACAACAAAAATTTTGTGACCTCAGAAAAATAGATTCTTTTGACCTTAATATATACACATACATATATATATGTGTGTGTATATATATATATATATATATATATATTGGGGCGGAAAAAATAAATAAATATTCGAACCTGCTAAAGAATCAAGAAGGGTGGATTTCCCGGAACCAGAAGGACCCATAATAGCCATGATTCTAGACGGTTGAGCGAAACCAGTAAGCCCATTCAGTATTCTTCTTGTTGGTTTGTTACTATTATTCGGAAGCACCACCGTGAGATCTTCCCACACCAAGTAAGCACCACGGGGGCAGCCACCGCCACCGCCACCTCTTTCCATCTCATATTCAAGCCGACCGCCCTCCATCAATCCCACCACCACCTTCTGCTCCTCCTCCTCCTGACCTCCCATTGCCACCTCTATCTCCATCATAATTCTCTACAGTTAGTACAGTACCCTTCTGTTAAGACTCCTGTTAGTTGCATGGATATTTTTATATGTGTATATATATATATATCATTATATATATAGAGGGGGTGTGTGGGTGTGTTGGGGTTGGGGGTTGATATTATTTGTAGAATTAAATGGTTGAGATTAGAGGGGATAAAAGAAATGGCTTTCTGGTCTGGGAAGATGTTATTACCAAAAGAGAAAGGTAGAGCATTATTTACCACTCAATGTGACAAAGTAAGTTTTAATGCTACCATGAATAGGGGTTCAGAAGGTTGGTAGAATGTGTGTGTGTAAGCATTATGATATCTCCCATTGTTTCAAATACTCACAACTCCCTCTTTCTATTAATTACTATATACTTTTCTTGTATGTATAAGTTTATATCTATTTGTGTATATTGCTTAGGGACACTCACTTTTCTGGTCAAACTTTAGTCAAACACTAAATAAATACCATGGTCAAAAGTATCATGAGGTCTTGGGTTCAAATCCAAGGAGAAATAAAAATTCTCTTGTGGTCACAGAGGTTCAAATACGGTGACTCTGGACTATCTATAAAGCAGGTGGTCACCCTGAGATTAGTCGGCTCGCATATCAGGTTGGATTTACAGTTTAATAAAAAAAAAATACCATATATAGAGGGAGAAAGGGTTGAGTTCAGGTAAAAATTCTAAATCTCGTGGGAACCCTAGGGACCCATCTAAACCGTCTATTGTCTTTTGATCCAAGGGTGTTCGTCGCATCAAGGCAATTCATTCTTTTGGTTTTTTTTGTATCCGGACACAACGGGATCGATTTTAATTGTGAACGGTATATTAACATTTCATTTTAAGTAAACTATATATGTTGATGTATATGTTAACCTTTTTATTTGAGGTATGATTAGTTAGTGTAATATGTATGTTAATATGCATTATCTTATGTTAAGGCATGTTTAGCGTTTTCATGTTAACTTTGGGATTAATTAACGTAAGTTAAAACATATGTTGACGCGTGAGATCAAGGATGGTAATTTATGTCAACCTTCCACCTCCCTTATAGCATCGCCACTAAAGTTGCATCTTATTACGAAATTGCCACTGCGTTTTTTTAGGCGTTGGATTTTTGAATATATTTCATCCGACACTGACATGTTGTGCAAGTACCCTTAAAGATTTCATGACAAGTTTAATGTTCATGCTAAAGTTATATGCATGTTCAGTGTTTATCATGTTAGTGTAAGTTGAAGATTGTGAAAGTTAATTAAGATATGTTAAAGGTTCATCTCTCCTACATTCATGCCATTGAAGCTCCACTTAATTACAATAATGACATCGAGTTGAGTAAAGTCTTTCAATAAAAAAATTATCCAAACGGTTCTCACAAAAAGTTACATGCAATATGTGAGTGTGTGTGTGTACCCACATGCTTAATGATGAAATATCCAAGGAAAATGAAATAATACCAGTACGATATGTGTTAAGCTGTTAATAATCACGTGCTTTCCAAATTAAGCACGGTTTATAGTTTTTGTATGGATATATACGAAAAGGTATTTAATATTGTGTTGGATATAACTTCTAACAATAGAAATCACTTAAAGAAAACAATGTGATTAGGTTACAATTTTTTGTTCTTATTTGGATAGATGATCATATATTAAAAACAATGAGACACGTGTTTACCAAAACAAACCTCTCAGTAAACTAATAGAACATAGTATGATATCGTTTAAGGGGTTGTTTGGCAGTTGCTGAATGATTTGATGTAGAATGATTAAGTGGTCAGAATGATTAAGATGCTCTCATGATATAGTGCAAAATTATGATAATTATTTTCAATGAAATTAGAGCTATGAATAGTTAAGGGAGACCCATGATACAAAATCATTCATGAGGTTTTAGAACCATTAAAAAGCAGACCATTTTTTTAACGATTGAGAAACTGCCTCTTAATGAAACTATTATATTGTAAACAAACAACCCCTCTTTCTTTTTTTTTTTGGTAATTTTAGACTTAATGATCAACGATAAACATAAAATTAACAGACCCTTTGTTTAGTCCACTGTGGAAAGTCAAACCTAGTGACCGGCATCGAAGGCTCTTGTTACAATCATCTTGAAAAGGTAGTATTGAATCCCTAATTCGGGGTTCTTTTTATTATTTTACAACTTGAACGTCAAATAATGAAAAATGTCTTTGTTACTGATGATGACTCACATGTTAGTGATTCCGACAAAGTATAAGTTACGTGGCATCGGTTCATTATTATGCCTCACATGGTTATGAAAAAGTTCATGATCTATAACGACTATAGTTAGTAGATATTATCATTCATTTTTAATGTGTACTCGTTTTTATCGTCGTTCTAAATGTTGAAGAGGGTGTCCATAAATTCGATCAAAATAACAATGTTGCTTGAATTGATGCTTATGGATTGGGGATTTATGTATTTTAGCAAAATATTTATATATATATTTTATCATTTAGAATATAGGCGAAGGATCGTGTGAGAATAGTAAGAAGATATCTGAACTTTTGATCACTTTTAACCTTATGCCCATGTACCCATAAATTACTCTTTAGAAATGAATTGATCCGATGTATCTCGGTGCAGCTCATTAGTTTTGACATTCAATCATGATTGATCCAAAGATACAAATTTCTTTTTATATTTTCACCATAACTTTCTTTCTCATATAAACCCAACAGTTAGAACATAATGATATCTAAAAATAATTCTCGAGCATTAATTTTCTTAATAATTACAATATTTTTTAGAAAATGATTTTAGTAAACGCTAAATATAGACTTAAATTTAATGGTTTATTTAACTTCTTTATTCATTGATTTTTCTGAAGTAGATATAATAATTATCTACGATAAACTCAACCTACGTATATTTTTCATCTTTATTGATGTTTGAATCTTTTGACTTCACAAAAGTGGAGTTACCAAGGGTATTATTGGGTCTCGTCTGGTTTGAAGGAATAGAATGAATTTAGTGGGATTTGTATTTTGAATTCATTTCAATCCTATGTTTGGTTTGTTGGATTGTCTGGATTTGAAATAATAGGATTTAGTTGAAATCCTTCAAACATAAGATTTTAAAATCCTTAGGAAGTGCTCGGGATTTCACGGGATTTCGTAGGATTGTATGCAATAAGGTTTTAAAAAATATTAAAAACATTTGTTTTGTAATAATCAATTAATAAAAAATGTAATTCAATTATTTTTATAATTATTTATAATTTTTTAATAAATAATGAAATCCAATTCCATTTCAAATCCTATAAACCAAGCACACCAATAGTTTCAAGTGAGGTAAAGTTTTATGAAAATGTTTTTCCATTTAAGATGAGTGATGATAAACATGGTTCAAACTCAGAAAGTTTAAGCTCTCTGAATTTCTTTGACGGTGTTTTTGTTCCAACTAATAACTCTTCTAATCCATCGTCCTATGACGATGATAATAGGGATCGACCTTTAACCTGGAACTTTAGTCAAATTAGTGGTGTTATTTCCTTTGATAGCTAAAATATAGTTGTCAGTCTGCCAACTCTGAGTAGCTCTGACTTGGCGAACAGGGACCAGAGTGTCGTTAATAGTGAGATTTCTGAAAATAGAGGTGTAAGTGGTGCTCGTGTTACAGTTCCCCTCTTGAGGGTGTTTTTCCTCGTAATACTATTAATACCTCATCTAATTCGGTTAGGAATCTAGTAAATTTTAAGTATGCCTTGAAAGTTTGACGACTTCATTGTACAAGGAAAAGTCAAATATGGGTTGGAGAAGGTTGTTAATTATTCATTCTTTAATAATGAGAATTTTTGTTTTGTTTCAAATATGAATAAGTCTGTTGGACAGAAAAACTATTTTGATCTATATAAAGACTCTAATTGGGTTACTGCCATGAACAATGAATGAAGGCCTTATATAGAAATGAACCTGTGTTATTACTGATCTTCCACCATGAAAAAAAGCCTATATGATGCAAATGGATTTATAAGATTCAAATATAAATCTACTGGTGAGATAGAGTGATTAAAGCCAAATTTGTTGCTAAAGGTCATAGTTAAAAAGACATTCTCTCCTAAAGATGGTTACTGTTAGATGTGTCATTGCTTTATTTGTTCGAAATAATTGGGATTTGTGTCAACTTGTACACAATGCATTTTTGTATGGGAGTTTGGATGAAGAAGTTTATACGAGTCTGCCTCATGGATATTTCTGTTTTTGTGATTTCATACAACCTTGCGAAATCCCGTGAAATCTCGAGCACCCTCCTAAGAATCAAAATCCTATGTTTGTAGAATTTCAATTAAATCCTAAAATTTCAAATCTAGACGGTCCAACAAACCAAACATGTGATAGAAATGGATCTGAAATTCAAAATCCCCCAAATTCAATCCATTCTATTCCCACAAAACAAACAGGAAATTAGGGTTTTATGTTAGGTTTGTTTGTATTTGTAAGTTGTATGTGTTAGAAATAAAATGGGGTATTAAATTTGTAGACAATCGTAGTGGGGAAGGCTAAGAAGATGGAGGTAGGATAGGACCTTTAGTTTAGGTCTTTAGGCTTTTTATTTATCTTTTTCTTTTTTGAAAATATTTTTCATAAACAATATTAGAATATCCATTTTTTTATTTCTCTTTTTTTCAAAGAGAGCTTAACACAACTGTCAGAAGTAGAAAAAACTCGAAAAACCAAAATTTCTAATATAACATAACTATTAAGCTACGATCTACAATTTTTCTGAATATTGTTATATTAATAAATAATTTAAAAAATTCTAATTAACTTAATATATTTATAAAATAATATTTTAAGTCACAAATTTTTAAAAATACACTGTTGTAATAATAATTAAAAAATAACATTCATCAATATATGTACCGTGTACGTGGATAAGACTTACAAATCTGGTAACTTATATCATGTTATTTTGATTAAAAATCAGAATGTTACTTATTATTATAATACATAATAAATTTTATAATAAAAAAATTATGAAATTATGTTGTTATTTTGTTTTGAAAAATACAAATTATAACAAGGAAAAGGTTTTCAAAATCCATAATTAGCACTTTATTACAAAAGCCCAATGGGCTTACAAAGGCCCAATTTACAATATTTAGCATTTGTCATTTTTTTTCCTTTATATAACCATGGTACGTTTAATATGTGTGTTATTAAGGTAGACTTTGGATCATGTAATGACACTTTGTTTTCGTGAGACCTATGAGATTATTTTTTTACATTTATAATTTTACAGCAAAACCTTGTGAAGGTAAACTTCACAGTATCTTTACTGTAAAAGTTTGGTTTTTTACGTTGTAAAGTTTGAAGTGTAAGAAAATGGTCTCACAGCTCTTACGAAAACAGGCTGGTCTCACGTGAACCCAACCCTATTAAGATATAAAGATTACAAAAGGCCACCTAATTATATGTACTAAAACACAATTAATTTATTTATCAACATCGGGTAATACCGATGGAAGCAATAATCGTTGTATAAATGTTTTGTGTACGAGAATTTATTTTTAGTACATATTATTGTTATCGGTATGTTTTCAATGTGATGTTTTTAAGCTATGGGATCGGGGAGTTAAGACCCTCTTGTGTCGCCAAAGCCCGAAGGCTTTGATATCGTCTTGACGACGGGAACTTCGTGAATGAAGCTCGTCTTTTTAGTCGATGAATCGTTCTCTTTGCATACATCGACTGGAAAATCGGTAACGCTTTCTCCTTCAGCTTCAGAACTAAAAAGAACAACGTTCGGTAACTCACAAGAAGGGCGTATATCGCGAACAAATCCCACCACTTAGAGTGACTCAACGGCAATCGGAACAACTTTGTTATTACATCCGCTCCCGTGATTTTCGGGTCTCCTGGTGCTAATCCGTCGAATACCAAACCGATCAAATCATTCTTGTATCCTCCCTACATTTTAGTTCCCAATCCGTAGTTAAAATAAATCGATCAAATATTCTGGCACAATTGTTATTTGTAACTCGTAAGTACCTGTATCGCCCACGATCCGTAGTTTATATACGATACGGGGTATCGCCAAAACGGTTTCGGAAGATCGGGAAGTTGGCGAAAGAAACCGGAGGTCATCATCATGATTCCCTACATTGTGTAAAATAGCTCAAAAATTATAAGCGTATTGTAAACGATAAAAGCTCATAGTTGTATCGCTCGGGTGTAATCTTACTAGAACGCCAGCCCCGGTTACGAGCCCCATCAAGAAATTGGGAACGAGAGATGCAACAATCATCATACAGCTCTCGATCACTGCAATCGAGCCGAAGAGGTTGAGACAATAGAAAGCGTATCGAGAGAATCCGTGATTGAACTTGACCATGTTCCAAGTGATCGTTCCAGTGAGAAGGGAAACCGCAACCAAGAACGGGAACGAAGATAGGAAGTTCGACAATATAAACACCGCACACCCGTAGTAGCCGTTGAGTCGTTCCCGAGTAAAAATCTGTGAGCGATTGTATGTACGATCTTAAAAACCAGTCAAATTAGCACACAAAATACGTTTTACAATATGTACTCAAACTCTGGCCCGTACCACCAATCATGTGAAGACATATCATCGTTTTATTATAATATACATTTATTTTGTCTTTAATAAAATAATGATATGTTTTCAATTGATTGACGGGGACACGGATATCGGGAATCGGAGATTTTTATTTGTTTCAAACCTTCATATCTTCGATAAACGAAGGGAAGCTCCCGATGGACATGAAAGTCATAAACCCCGTTATGAAACCGCCACACGCTCCCCTCGCGATCATGGCCGTATAACTCAATCCGACATCAAAGAAGATCGTCCCAACGCATATCGATACGACCAAATAAATAATGATTCGTAACCAATAATATCCCATATCTCTCGACATGTTTACAAAAGATCGTCGAGTGAGTGTCGTAAGTTGCTTCCACCATCCTACTTGGCTCGCCGTGCTCATTCTGGTCTCGGGTCCACGCTGCAAACCAAAAATAAGGTGCGGCTAGATACATCCGAAAGGGGTTTGGGTTAGGTTCGGGTTCGAGTTCGAGTTTGGAGGAACTTACGAATGTCGACATGTGTTTCACTTTCGACCGGGATTTCGCAGCTTGTTTAGACCATTTGTATTTCTCTACTAGGGTCGTTTTGATCTCAGCTGTTGCCAAATTTTTTAAAGGGTCTGCTTCTTCTCGTCCTTCCTACAAAAACAAAACAGAAAAATAAGCAGAAACAACTGAAAACATAAACACCAACAACAAAATGAAAACAAATTAAACAGGGAAACAAACACATGTAAAATGCAACCTGTGTCTAAAATAGATAATTAAGGAGCCGTTTACTAAATGTTTATCTAGTAAGTACTTACCGGGTAATTTTCTTTATGAAATGAACATTACAAAGGTAAAAAAAACTAACAATGTAAACTTTCTGCTTAGTTATTTTAGAAATAAATAAATCAGCTTCACATCAACTAAATAAAATATGTATAAGTATTACAAATAATTAAAAAAAATACTTATATATTTGAGATGTCACATCTTAAACATAAAAAATAAGTGTTTATAAATAAGTTACCCGATACCAAGGAAAGTGTATTATTTTGTGTATGAGAATGATACTTGCGCAATGCAGCGAGATACATCTTGATTTTAATATTTCATTTTATTCTTTATCTCAGTCGATGTTGTATGGTCTTATATGATTTTAAAAAAACGATGATGTTTTTATTTTTGAATAAAATATAAATTTGAAGATATCATAAAAATTTGACAAAAATAAATTGATATTAGTATCAAACTAACTATTTAAAATTCCTATTTTTGGTATAATTTTTTAATTCAATATATTTTATTGTAATTTAATTTAGGTTTAATAACAAAACAATTTATATTTGGATTAATAATATAATTTTCTTATAAAAATAATAATTAATTATTTTGTTATAACTCAATAATTATCCTAATTATATTTTAGATTTTTTTATATTTTAAAATGAGATGTTTATCCTCTATTTGATTATATTTATATGTAGTTAGTTACACAAATTCAAACATGGAGCGTTAATAACTTTTACTTATGCATAATTTACTTGTAACCTTGAATTTTAAGTAATATGCATCAATATACAGTACTTCATGCATAAAAAATAGTTTTTAAGAGTTTTTATCAAATGCTTTATAATATAGTATAGATTTGTGCTAATTAAACCAGCATAAACGTCAAAATTCAACTGATCGAGGACTCTCATACCTTCATAAGCAACATTAAACCACGAAAAAGAAACAAATTGAAAACAAGAAAAACATACGTAAATTCTGGATGATCCTTTGAGCGTGGCCGTTACGACGTCGAAATCCGAGTTGATACAACGTAGAAAATGATCGGATGGATTTCTCTTGATTGGACATGGGAACCCCGATTCCGCAAAAAACTGTCAAATGTTATTGGCTAAATTAAATAAGACATACGGTTATTGTCACTTAAGTCATAATGGATATATAATTGTGTCATATGAAAATTAAATATGCTTCTAATTTGTGATTGGTTGTATAATTTTTTGATAAATTATAAATTCATAAAAAAACGAAAAATAAACAGTGAGTTGTTGCAACTATATATGCAACAACCCACGCTCATTTTAGTAACAAACCTCTATAGCATCTTTTGCTTCTCCAAAGTAGACAGTTTCGCCTCCCGATAAAAGAAACAAGTCGTCAAACAACGCGAAAACTTCACTGCTCGGCTGGTGAATGGAAGAAACGACGGTTCTTCCATCACGAGCCACGCTTCTAAGAGCATGAGCCACGAAAAACGCTGATGCACTGTCAAGACCACTCGTTGGTTCGTCCAGAAACAACAAACGTGGTCTTACTAGAATTTCAAGTGCAATACTGAGTCTTTTCTTCTCCCCGCCACTTATACCCCTCAAATGCCAATTTCCGACCAACCTATCCGCACAATCCTCAAGCCCCATCTCCATTATCGTTCCCTCGATCGTATCTTGAATCTCTTCATTTGTCATTGTGGTTGGAAGCCTCAGATGGGCCGAATACGTGATTGTTTCCCTCACCGACAGGGTTCCCATTAGAACATCTTCCTGTGTCACATAAGCCTACAAAAAAATACTTTATTTTCGTCAAATTAATATCAAGTTTGAAACAAAACGATTAAAAAAAACAGAAATTTATTTACTTACGACTGCGCCATAGGTTAGTTTCTTCTTCTCCCCGTTAAGTAGAATATTTCCGGTCATCACAACATTCTTCGACAGTCTACCTATACCGATGACAATCAAAATAACACACTGAAACGACATATTTTTATTCAATTCAACAATATATATATATATATATATATATATAGGGGTGGGTTCAAATAAAAACCACTCAATTTGTAAAAACCATGAAAGCCTCATTCAACCAATTATAATTTTTCATTTTGTTCATTTTTTTTGTAATTATGAGAGGTTGATTAACCATTTTTATTGTGGAAGGTGTTAATCATGGATATTATCATCTTCATTATTTTAATTTTAGTGAAATACATGAAACAGTTTCATTAAAATTTCATTAAGTAGTATATGAAACAATTTCATAACAACATATGAAACAACTTCATCAAAAAAAGTATTATATGAAACAATTTCACAAGATTAACAATTTCATGAAAAAATTTCATAAGATTAACGACGGATGAGAGTAGTTTTTACGGTTTTTACAAATTGGAGTGGTTTTCATTTGATCGCTCCTATATATATATATATATATATATATATATATATATATATAGAGAGAGAGAGAGAGATTGTTTCAAATACAACCCATCGCATTTGTACAATCAATGCAACCCAATAAATTGAGATATTTATGGAAATGATGAGAGTTCATTTATTATGATTTGAATATTTATGGAAGATGAATATGGTTCATTAATTATGATCAATACTTTATATTAGGAAACAATCAAAACTCTTATGAAATCACATATTAATCAAATGAAATGGACGGTTGAGATTGAGTTGTATTGGTTGCACAAATGTCATGCCAAATGTTGTATAATAACCAATCTATATATATATATATATATATATATATATATATATAGAGAGAGAGAGAGAGATTGTTTCAAATACAACCCATCGCATTTGTACAATCAATGCAACCCAATAAATTGAGATATTTATGGAAATGATGAGAGTTCATTTATTATGATTTGAATATTTATGGAAGATGAATATGGTTCATTAATTATGATCAATACTTTATATTAGGAAACAATCAAAACTCTTATGAAATCACATATTAATCAAATGAAATGGACGGTTGAGATTGAGTTGTATTGGTTGCACAAATGTCATGCCAAATGTTGTATAATAACCAATCTATATATATATATATATATACAATCGAAACAAATCTATTGGCCTTGTTCCAAGGACACTTCAAAAACTTTTGACTTTCCTCAATTAGTTAAAAACCAATTTATTACGTACAAGGATTTATTATATCTGCTTTTTATCGGTATATATATGTTTGATACTGAATAAAAAAATACAAAACATGCAAAATAAGACTATTAGAGAAACCTGCTAATGCATCGAGAAGTGTAGATTTGCCGGAACCAGAAGGACCCATGATAGCCATGAGTCGACCTGGTTCAGCAAATCCATTGAGACCATGGAGCAACTTCTTGGTTGGTCCATCACCCGTGCTTGGAAGCATCACCCGTAGATCTTGCCACACCAAATAAGTCGCTCGTTCCCTCATACTCATACTCGGGCCCATACTTATTCCACCACCACCATCGTCATCACGATCGCCATGTTCCGCCGTGCTACCACCACCACCACTTTTTCCGACTTCTATCTCCATATGGAGGTAGGCAAAGAATCGTTGAGTTTGAAACAAGAAAAAAGAATATTAATAGAACCAAATATGGAGATATTAATGAGGTAGGGTTCTTGAGTTCATGATTGGTGGGGTTGAGGTGTGTGGTGGCAAAAAGGTGGTGCCCCTTCATTTAAGTTGCAAGTAATGGTTGGTTGGTTGGTTGGTTGTTGCATGACTTTAAAAGACCTAAACTTCATGCTCTACAATTAAATTCACACCAATTATATATAAATCATTAATTTATACAAATTTAATATATATATATATATATATATATAGAGAGAGAGAGAGAGAGGGGAGGTTTACTTTGCAAACCACGTTATTTGTACAAACCATACAAAGTTCATTCAACCAATCATAATTTTTCATTTCGTTCTTTTATTGTAATTATGAGAGGTTGGTTAATCTTTTTTTATGGTGGAGAGTGTTAATTATTGATATTATCATCTTCAATATATTACTTTTAGAGAAATACATAAAACAGTTTAATTAAAATTTCATAATCATATATGAAACAACTACATCAAAAAAAAGTATTATATAAAACAATTTCATGAAAAAAAAATATTAGATTAAACAATGAAATCAACTGATAGGGATGGTTTGCATGGTTTATACAAATATGAATTATTTACATTTGATCAATTATTTCTCAATATATGTGTGAGAGAGTGTGTGAGTGAGAGAGAGAGGGGGTAAAAATATTATGATACATAGGATTTGTCCAGGTTTCTTTGACCAAAAGATTTTAATACATGCGTACACAACCATAGATTATATTTTAGTTTAAATATTATTTTATCTGTATCAATAACTTCTTTTCTTTTATTAATCATAAGTGTCTAAATCAGTTTACGTGTATCTTAACTAATCTCATAGTATCCTAAAGAACAGTCAGGAAAAATCTTCGATGACTTTAAAAGAACCCGAACCGATGATTTCTAAAGGAGTCCCAAAACTCAAAACCTTATTTGATTGTTGAAATCATTGAAAACGATTGAGATCGATGTTAACACCGGTCTCGTTGAATTGATTAATTATGGTTTTTTTTATCTCATACCGTTCATTCATATTAATTAATTCGATTAAATTATAAAAAAAAACTAATGCAATTAATATAATTATAAAAATGTAAGTATACGATAAATGAACTTTATATTGAAAAAAAAGTTGAATACCGGCAACGACAATCAGCCTCACAAAAGTATAGAACTCGACCCCAAGAACATCAATGTAAGGGTCATTAATTTTTTGGCACATTCAACGGCTGAAACTAACTGGGATGTTGAGGATTAAACCTGAGACATGTCTTCTATTTAGGTAAAGTCACCTCATCTATTTAGCAACTGAACTATACATCAACAGACAATAAAAAAATTATTGTTTGTATGTCAAGTTATATTTTCTTTTAATAACAGGAAAAGAAAAATGAAAATATAATTAAAAGAAATTTCGAATTTATTTTATTCGATCCATAAAAAAATCTCCGTAAAAACGACGTATGCGAGATAACTTTTTAACACATTCATGAAAATGAAGTTTCAAGTTTGCGCATAAGTTTGTATGTCAGGTCATGTTCACCTTTCAAATATACGAGATTATGAAGCCGCATCTCAAATAAAAATGCTATCATTTGTCATTTTTCATACTTATTTTTTAAATATTTTTTTAAATTTTAAAATTACACTTTATATATTTATAATTATTTTACGTGTTGTTTTATACTCTTATCACATTAATATACATAATTATGTAGTAACTAACATACGTTCTAGTTTTAACAAGTTACATAATCGTCTCACCAATGCCTTCGAAATAAGCCGAATATTGAATATTTTTTATTTAATTATATTGTTATATCATGTATGCTACGAAAAAAAATATTTTTAATACTTATACTTTATACGCTTGTAGTTAATTATGTAATTTATGGTATGTCCCTTTGTCTTTTTATTCTTTGGTTTACACTTTTATCACATTAACATACATAATTGTATATTAACTAAAATACGTTTTTAATTTAAAAAATTACACCATTATAAATCGTCTCGTCAATATCTTCAAAATGAGCTCAATACTGAATACTTTTTTATTTGATTATATTATTATATGATAAATATTACAAAAAAAAAAAATTAACACTTACACTTTATACCATTATATTTATTTAACTTTTGAGTATGTCCCTTGTTTTTTCATTTTTCGTTTTACACTTTTATCATATTAAGATACATAATCGTATATTAATTAAAATATGTAAAGTTTGGCCTCACGTGAACCATTAGATCATTAGCTTATAAAGTTGATCAATGAACATAAATTGGTCTTACGGGTCTCATGAAAAA